AAAAAAAATGCCCTTGCAGCCTGTATATATGCTGTATGACCCATGTGCCGTATGTTGCCCACCCCTCCTCTAAATGGACTGAAGTATGTCTCAAAATATGTCCTTTTTGTTTGTTGTGGTTTCTAGTGTCTGCACATGATTATTTTTGGCTGGATTTGAGAATAAATGTCAACATTTTCATCACCACAAAAAAAACGTACTTTGTCTTTCCTGTGAAAATACACGCGCGAGGTCGGTTTTGGTCATCGTGAAGGAGGTGCCCTGTGAGTTTTAAAAGCGCAACTCACAAAAAGTAGGGTGTCTTGTGCTTTTGATCTTGATGCCCAGGATAAATTCCCAGTCAGTATTTTGTCGATTAATTCAACAAAAAGCACAGATCGAGGGACTTTTATTGTAAAAGTTCATTCATGCAAATGAACACAGACTTGCAGTGTACTGTTTTGCATATAAAAGTAGGAATGGGGTCATCAGAGATGTCAAATCCAGATACAGAAAGTAAAAAGCCTGCCACGGTTTGGCTTTCACACAGCCGACAGGTAAACGGGCCCTTAACTGCCGCTTGAGCAGAAGCACTCGTGGCGAAAGCTTTTTACTTTCTGGAACTGGATTTGACATCCTTGTCCCGCATCCACATGACTAATTCTTCATCTTTCCCTCCATCCTCAAAGACTCTTCAAGATGCGTTCCCGCCTTCCGCCTCGATCAACATTCTTAGGCCTCCGTTCCCGCATTTGGATCTTTCTGTATGTCCGGAAAATCAGCTCCATGTCCGCCTGCAGTGTGGAGTTGCGTCGGTCGGCGGCGGCCCTGGCCCGCTCCACGTCTCGGATCCTGATCTCGGCCGCGCTCTGGCTGCGCCTCTGCCACTCCAGGCGCTCGCGCAGTGCGGCCACCTGCCGCTCAAGGGCGTCGTTGCAGCGCTCTAACCTGTGGTGAGAGTGCAGCATCCACTTTTCCGTGATCAATTGTCATTTGGTCGAAAACAGCACGGAGGCCAAAAACCTTTTGTATTTTTGTACCTGTGTATCCTAGCCTGGTACTCGCTCCTCTGCTGGGCCATCTGCTGTCGAAGTTCAGTCAGGAGCGACTCAGCATCATCGGGCTCGGATGCTGAAGGTTCCGGAGGGCCAGACGGGAGGAACACCTCTGAGCTGCCGGTGCTGAGGGGGCTGAGGATCGAGCCGGATGTCGGCGTGTTCAGATGGCGTCCTCCGTCAAGGTCACTTTCCGTGTCACCGTCGAGGTGTTTGTCATCTTCTGCAGCTTGACTCGAGGGGGATCTCATCGGTTTCAAGTCAGGACCAACTCGACCCTCGGGATCGCTGCCCTGGTCCGGCTGTAAAACCTCGCAGGAGGACCACGACGAGGAGTCGTCTACGGTCTGCCACGCCTCCTCTGATTCCTCGCCGGAGTTGCCCTCACCGTTGGGGTCGAAATGTTCACCGGCGACATCCTCCATGGTCTGACGAGAAGGCGCTCTGTTCAGGTTGTCATAATCCGATGGGGTGCTGTCTTCCTGCACCTCACTGCCGCCTCCGCCGGCCGCTTGGGGACCCTCGCCTTCTGCCCCTGCGATCTGGGTGGCGCTGGAACTCCACAGGTGCTCGCCTGCCACTGCTGCGGGGTAAGAGAGTACAAATGTTTCGTTACTGGATTTA